TTGGAATTTCTCTCACCCGCCTACACGTCGGTGGCACTGCCATATCTGATCCAGACACTGGATTCCACAGGTCAATCCTCAGGCAAAGGATGCGTGTAGTTCATCACTCTGGGAGATGGTTGCATTTCAAAGGAGAAAGGGGGCAAGCCCCAATTTGCTTTCTATGCCTGAAATGGGCTAGGAAGGCTCTGCTTTTATACTGGATGATAGAATATCCTTCCCACAAGTTGGAACAAGGCAGCACAGCCTGTGGAACCGTGGGACACAGCTCTGCTCCTTCATGGCTTCAGGGCATGCCCTCCCTCAGATTCTCCAGCTGCTTTGAATTCCAGAGCTGTGTCGAGCAAAAATAGCACCTCTCAAGTGCTCGGAACCAAGCCAGGGAGGCAAACACTTGCCCTCAGGTTACAGTCAGTGCAAAAGCTGTTGACAAGAGAACAGCACAGGATTTCTGTCTGTATTCTACACCCGACTCCGCAGGGTTGCAAAGCTGTGCCTCAGTTCACAGGACCAGCCGAGGGAGGTTGAGGATGGGTCAATGTAGGAATACCCAGAGGATATTATAGTTGCCTGAGAGTCCAGGGCCTGTCACACGTCAGAAGCTGTGACAACTGTCTGTCTGAAACCCTCAACAGTAGGAGAAACTTCAGCAGTGACACAGACTAAAGCAAGGGAAAGGTACTGATTGGCATGGCGAGAATACGCGTAGCACGGATGCCCTCGCTTTGGCCTGAGAGCAAGTCGAGAATCTCTCAGAGTTTGCAGACGGGCTGTCGAACATATCAGATTTATTCAAAGGACTGGTTGGCACCTAAATTTCTGGGTTCCACCTCAGAGTTTCTGAGCAAGGAGTTCTGAAGTAGATAAAGAATGCCCCTGTCTAGAAAGTTCCGAGGTGGGGCTGATGCTACTTTTATTAGTTATTTTTGTTGCTGTGATGAAATGCAGCAACTTCCAGCAGGGTTTATTTAGGTTAAGGTTCCATCATGGCAGGGAAGCATGGCCGCAAACGGCAGGCACGGTGGCTGGAGCAGAAAGCTGAGAACTGACCTTTCCAAACCCAAGCATGATTGACATTTATAAACACTCAAAGCCCATTCCCAAGTGATGCTCTCCCACCATCAAAGTTCCAGCTCCCAAAGGTGACACAACCTCCGCAAATAGCACCCCCTCCCCCCCCCCCACCGTGAAGCAGGTCTTCAAATATCTGAGCCTTTAGGGGACATCTTCATTCAAGTCACCACACTACTGTCTGATGGCCAGACTGCCTGTAAGAACCGCTCGCTACCCAAGGCCACCACCTTCCACCTTTCCCATCTCAACCAGGGAGCTCTGCTTTAGTCATCTTGGTGTTACTATAACTAAATCTCTGACCTCGAACAACTTAAACAGAAAAGAGTTTTGTTCCGGCTCACCCTTTCAGAGGTTTCGGTACATCATCTCTCAGCTCCGCTGCTTGGGGGCCTCTGTTGAGGTCGTGGAGAGCTTGCTGTTCATCTCGTGATGACTGTGACATAAGGAGGGACACAAGCAGGGGCTTGAGCCCCAACTGCCCCTCCAAGCGCACACTCTCTATGATCTGCCTCCCGTTGGAGGATAATCTTTTTGTATACTGTGAAGATGTGTCTCTGCCAAGGCACCTTCTGATTGACTTAATGAAGACCTGAATGGCCAATAGCTAGGCAGGAGAAAATAAGCAGGGCTTCCACGGAGAGAGAAGAATGCGGTGTGCGGGATTTGTCAGCGAGGGAACGCAGCGAGAACGCAGAAGGAGTTGGATATATAGTATGAAGGAGAGGTAATGAGCCACATTGGCAGACCATAAATTAATATAAATGGGTTAATTTAAGTTATAAGAGTTAGTTGGGAACAAGCCTAAGCTAAGGCCAAACTTTCATAATCAGTAAGAAGTCTCTGTGTCATTATTTGGGAACTGGTGATCCAAAGAAAGTCTGACTACAGCTTCCTTCCCATTAGGCCCACCCCTTAAATGTTCTGCCACCTCCCAGTAATGTCATAGGCTAGAGATCAAGCCTATAACACATAGACATTTTATTTTTTATTTTTTTAAAGATTTATTTATTTATTTTGTATACAACATTCCTTCCATGTATGCTTGCATGCCAGAAGAGGGCGCCAGATCTCATTATAGATGGCCGTGAGCCACCATGTGGTTGCTGGGAATTGAACGCGGGACCTCTGGAAGAGCAGTCAGGGCTCTTAACCTCTGAGCCGTCTCTCCAGCCCCCCCCCATAGACATTTTAATAAGCCCTTTAAAGAATACAGATTCTTGGGTTCCTCCACCAACAGGTAAGGCCAGTGTACTCTACACGGGGGCCGGCATCTCTGCTTCAAAATTCTCTTCAAGTTGCTTTGGGCTTTGATTTGAGAAACAGATCTTAGATGTGGGGTGGTCCTTCTTGTTTTAATCTATACGTTGAGGTGGCACATACATGTCCATGGTTGTGTGTGTGTGCATGTGTGCACTAGGGTGTGTGCACATATGAATGCACGTGTGGAGGCCATGGATTAACATCAGATGTCTTCCTTGATCAAGTTCCACCTTCCTTTCTAAACTTTTATGTGTGTGAGTGTTGTCTTAGCCAGGCTTTCTATTGCTGTGATAAGTACTGTGACCCAGAGCAATTTGGGAAGGAAAGGGTTTACTGGGCTTGTACTTACGCGTTGTAGTCCATTCCTGTATCAAGTCAGGCCAGGACCCTACATGGGGGATCTGATGCAGAAGCAATGGAGGGGTGCCTTTGCTCAGCCTGCTTTCTTAATAGAACTCAGGGTCACCTGCCCAGGGATGGCACCACCCACAATAGTCTGGGCCCTCCCCCATCAATCTAATCAAGAAAATACCCTATAGGCTTACCTACAGCCCCATATCTGTAAGTATTTTTTAAATTGAGATTTCCTCCTCTCAGATGACTTTAGCTAATGACAAGTTGACAGAAAACCAGCCAGCTAAAGTGTTCTGCCTGCATGTATATGCTCATGGGTGCCTGATGTCCGCCGAGATCAGAAGATGGCAATGCATCCTCTGGGACTGGAGTCACAGATGACTGTGAGCTGCCATCCTCTCGCTCCTTCTACCTCGTTGTTTGAGACAGGGTCTCTCAGAAAACTTGGAACTCGTGGGTTTGACTAGGCTGAATTGCAGGGATCCTCCTGTCTCCAGCTCACCAGTGCTGGGGTGACAGGCATGGCTGTCATGTCTGACTTGTTGAAAGGGTGCCAAGGAAGGATCTGAGCTCAGGTTCTCATGTTTCCATAGGACCACTTTACTGACTGAGCTCTCTCCAGACCTAGCTATTAAAATAGTATATGCATTGGTATGTGTACTAAAATAGTATACTATTAAATCTGTATAGTAGATACTGATATTAAAATATGTATATATGTTGTAGAATATTATTTTAAGATGTGTTACACTTGTTTATGTTGTGGGACATTTGTTTAATGATGCAAAGATGTATTGCGTTCTTTTATGTTGCATTTGCTTAACTCTGTGAAGCTGTGTTACTTTGCCTGCCTAAAATATCTGATTGGTCTACTAAAGAGCTGAACAGCAAAGAGCAAGGAAGGAGAAAGGATAGGTGGGGCTGTCAGGCAGAAAGAATAAATAGGAGGAGGTATCTAGGAGGGCAGAAAGATCGAGGAGCAAGAAGAGAAGGGATCAACCCTGCAGCCACACAACCAGACCTGGATAAAAAGGAAAGAAAAGATATAAAGAAGTAGAGAGAGCTAAAAGCCCAGAGACAAAAGGAAGATAGGATAATTAAGTTAAGGAAAACTGGCTAGAAATAAGCAAAGTTAAGACTGGACATTCATAAGAAAGAATCAGCCTCCATGTGTAGGTTTATTTGGAAGCTGGGTGGTGCCTCCCCCACCCAAAGAGCCAGAGTAAAAACAATCGACTACATATATGTACTAATTAGGATATGTATGTGTTGCTTTCACGTGCTTGATTAGGTACACAAAAGTATATGTTTGGGAGGTCAGAGGACACCTTTACCCACTGAGTCATCTTGTTGGCCCCTGGTTGTTCGTTTTTAGAACATCATGGATCATTTAAAAAAAATTGTTTTGTTTTTCAAGACAGGGTTTTTCTATGTTGCCCTGGCTGTCCTGAAACTTGCTTTGTAGACCAGGCTGGCATTCAACTCACAGAGATCTACCTGCCTCTGTCTCTTGAGTGCTGGGATTAAATGTATGTGCCATCATGAGTTAAAATTTTTCATAATAATTCTTGCTTTTCTTCTTTCTTGAAACTGCATATGAGCTCCCAAACAACTCCGGATAAAGAGTTCTAGAACTTACACATGGAACTAAGGTGGAGACCAACAAAGCTGAGAAAGATATGTTTGATATCCCAATTTTAGTATAAAAATTAAATGTAAGTGAGAAGTCATTCTTGTTCTAACTCTAGTAAGTCCTAGAAGAAGTAGTTTAAGCAACCACCAGAAAACCCCTCACAGTGGCAGAGCAGGTCACTTGGTCACCAGTCTATGGTCACACTTCCAGTCCCAGAGCTTCTTTCGCCAGAATGAACTCAACAAAGGTTTTGTTTAATATGTAAATGAACCCAGGCCGATTCCGAAGACTGTGTGGGATTGCCTCCACCCCCATTATACCACAGGGACTAGGCTGGGCAGATCTTTAATAACTATAATTAAGTTGTTGAACTATAATCAAAGAATGTAATTTCAAAACAAGATTGTTGTGTTCACATTCCCAGCATCGTGCTGAAGGGAAATCGAAGAGAAAGCATCTTGTATTCTGGCCAGGGAAGAGAACTTGGTGATGAACCAAGCCAACCGCAGCTTCATGCTTCGTGCTCCAACATAGACCCAGAAGCCCTTGGTGGCTTCCTGCTGAGCTGGAACTGGACCTTTTTAAAGGAGGGGCCATGGGCTGAAGGAGGTACTTGGATTGAGTCCTTTCTTCTTGCCAAGTCTGAGGTTTGGGTGAGGCAAAAGGGGTTGAGAATAAATCTCCCCAGGGCCCCTCCAGCCCCGAGTCTCCAGGCCACCCTGAAGAACTCCATAAGCAAAGGCCCGACACTGTGTTGAGCTACAATGAGTTCTTTTGTCTAGGAATCCTGTCTGCTAGGGGACAGTGACCACATTCCGGGGGCTTAGGGAGGAAAGGCTGAGATGTGGAGAACATCGTATCAGACATTCTGCTGCCTGCAGTGAGAGCCACTGTAGCTCCCAGTGGACAGAGGTAATCTCATCATTGACCCAAATGCCGAGGACCAAGGAAGGAGAAGACAGACATCTGTAAGCTGGCTATGCTGAACGTTTTCCGCCTCTCTCTCTCTCTCTTGCCCCGATCTAGTGTCTGCTCTGCTGCGTGCCAGGGACTCTCTGAAGATTACACCAAGGGACATCCTTGTTAAGGGAGGCCACACAGGAGAACAGAGAGTTGGGGGAGATGGAGTGTTTATAGTTTCCTTGCTATACTGAGCTGGAATCTCTTACCTATGGGGAACCTGGGATCTACCAGGTTCAGGGGAGCAGTGCCCGGCTACCACCCCTCCGGGCTGGCTGCCTGCCGTAGCTAGTCCTTAGATGCCCCTCATGTGGTGTTTCCCAGAAGAAAATACAGGATAAATTTCAGATAATGAATAACTTTTTAGTAGAACTATGTTTCAAATATTACAGCTTTAAGAATGACTTCCAGGATATGCCTTAGAATGCCTATTTATTGTTTATGTGAAATACAGATTTAGTTTGGCATCTCATTTGTATTTTTATTTGCCAAGTCTGGTAGCCCTACCATGATCCTCTTAATTCTGCCCCTGGTCTGTAACAGTTCCTTCATTAACCTTCTCAGTGGAGCCTCTGAGGGGCCTTCCTGTTCGTGTTGGTTCCAACTCAGACTTCCAGTTCCCACTGAGGTGCTGGGTATTACAGCAGCCTGCCCTGTCTTTCTGGGAACAGGCCTTTGCCAGCTGCCTGGGTCAGCCAGCGTGCACCGTGTCTTTCCAATATATAACACCTAGAGGTACCAAGGACTCTCTCTTCTGAATCAAGAGAGACCGGTTCTCTGCACAGGGTTGAGAACAAGGTGAACCTACCTTGACCTGCCCGGTGGGCCCCAGTGAGTGGGCAGAAACAGACAGCAAAACATTCATTCTGGAGGCAGCACCTCGCTTCACCAGGAAGCTTTTTCACACCCTGGGCTCCAGGATGCTCTGGGAGTGACTTTATCTGCTCTGAGGTTAAGCTTCTCAGTCAATGTCTACAGATATACCTGTTCCAGTCTCAACTCTTGGGAAGGAATAGAGATAATCTGAGTCGAACTTCTGCCACATGGAAGCCATCCTCCAAATGGTAATGATGGTCATTACGGTCACATAGGTACAGCTGTCTCCCCCAAGGCCAAGTGCCCTCAAGGCCAGGAAGACAGAAGTCTTTCCCTTACATGACTTTCTAGGATCTGGCCCATGGACTGGGCCAGGGAGGTGCTCCTAAATGTCATTTAAGTGGAGCTAAACTGAGTTGACCATCTGACAGAGGTCACGGGATGACTCGAGGGAGTTACATCACTATGAGGTGAGCTACTGAGGAGAGAGAGCTGATGACGAAGAGACAGATTCTGAGCCTCAGAGGTCCCATTAGGACCCTGAAGCCTAGGGGCCCATTTCAGAAGACCAAGCATGCTCGGTCTTGATGATGTTTTCAAGCTCTCCTTTCTAGCTTTCTCTGCGCCCATGACCCAGTTTTTTTCTGGAACTTTAAATATAAGCATCATCATTTTTGCATGACCCAGCGTGGGAGTGGATAAAGGCAGGAAACTTCTAGGGCAGTGCCCTCCCTCCGGATGGCATTTCTGACCTGTGCATGGCCTTCCATAGCTTCTGCTCTTCTGTAGCAGTGGAATTGCTTCTCCAGTTGTTTTCCCTTGGGGTACGGCTCTCATCAGCTCTAGCTCAGAGATGCCTTGGCCAGTAGCCCAGCATTGTTTGTTGTTGTTGTTGTTTGAGGTACAGTGCAAAGGGACCAAGAGTAAAGGGGCTCATTTAGGAAGCCTTGAGACACAGCTCAGACAGCCTGACTCCCCAATGACAAGGAGCATCTAAGGATCCCAGCCCTGCCCCTGAAGCTGGCTGTCTCTGCTGTGGTGGAGGAATAGGTGTGGTCTCTATCAGAGGCCACCCAGCCAGACCTCATCTGGGTTTTGCTGAATAAACACAGCAGCACCTGGACACACAGAGACCAGAGCCGTGCCTGGCCTCAGATCTCCCAAACACCCTATGTTCCCAGCTCTCTGGAGCCAGAGGCTTGGAGCCAAGCAGAGAATAAGCCAGGGAGGACAAGGAGGGTGAGAACTGCATTGCAAACTCAAGAGTCCACCTACTACTGCCTTGAGGACATAGGCACAGCCCCCTTTCCCAGATGCTTGCTGTAGGGAGGTGGGAGGAGGGAGGAGGGAGGAGGGTGCAAAACCATAAGATGAATAACCTGGATTAACCTGTCAACTGCTGAGCAAATTGTGCACACAGCTCCTCGGGGAGAGCTTTCCTGAGTCATCAGCCATGTTGAGACAGCCTTCTTAGTGATTCGCTGCCGTTTAAATCGTCCATGCTTCTGTAAGTGACTCCAGGAAGCTCACTGGTTCAGTCCACTAGACTTGGTAGAATAGTTTCTTTGGTTTGTTTTTGATGTCCTGTTTGGGGTAAAGAGATGTTTGAAAAGTCACCCAATACCAGGCCACCTGCGGCTGAAGTCTGCCTCACTTTTCACTCAACAGGGTTGGTTATTCTAGAACTAGTGAAGTTCTGACGTACCACCTCCTCCTGGATGGCCTCTTTCTCCTGGCAGAACTAACTATGGATTGTGTTTTCTTGGGTTTGGAGGATATATCGTGGTGTTAGTGGCTCACCTGCCAGACCCCATCCTCACCATCATCCTTGAGAAGAGTGGGGACCCTGCAGGGACAGAGACTATGTCTTCTCAGTGTGGAGTGAAAGACGTGACCAGATGAATAAGTGAGTGGTCTCTACCTTCTAGATGGAAAAAGTTAAGCCGTGCATAGATTGGATCAGTTCCCTCAACCTTATGAATGCGTATCACAAAAGATAAAACGTGCTTCCAATAGAATCTGTTAAGATCGAGGTGAGGCTAAAAGTTCTCTCAGTTACTTTCATCTACTTTTCTTGAAAATGGGGAGAAGAGTGTTTGAAGGAGAAGAGAAGATAGAACGCTTCTATGGCAGTGGTTCTCAATCTGTGGGTCACGACCCCTTTGGGTGGGGGGGGTCAAACGATCCTTTCACAGGGGTCGCCTAAGACCATGAGGAAACACAGATACTTATATTATGACTCATGGCAGTAGTAAATTTACAATCACATAGATGCAATGAAAATAATTTTATGTTGGGGTCAGCACACCGTGAGGAATTGTATTGAAGGGTCACAGCATTAGGAAGGTTGAGAACAGCTGCTGGGGGGGGCGGTCTGTGGTTGGAGAACTTGCCTTCTTAACAGGCATCACCGCTGCAGGGTGATGTACATGAAAGAAACATGTTGGTCAGAGACCTTGGAGGAAACCCGGGTTGCAGCTGGGTGGCCTTTAGTGACTGACTTCAGTCTCCTCATTTGCAAGAGGAACTGAACACTATGATTGCGAAATATCTCTAAAGTTGGAGAGCACACACCCAGAGATCTAGTAAGAGAAATCCAGTTAAGTGCGTCTCCCACCTGCTCACCCTTCCGCCATGTTTCAAAGCAACACCAAGACCTTCACCAGAGCATGGCACATGCACTGCCGTTTCTCAGCCTAGGCTACGTTTCTCTATCATGTGCTAGTCTGTGGTATTCTGTTGCGACAGTAGGCCTTCTGTGATTGGCTGATACCCACCCAGAGTAGGGGGGAAGGACATGTTGTACCCAATTCATCAATTCCATTGCTAATGTTTCCTGGAAAAACTTTTAGCTCTACCCAGAAATAATGGTAAGTCAGCTATCTGGGTCTCCTGCGGTCAAGCTGACATGTGAAATCAATTATGATAGGACTGTGTGACTGAGAAGGGTGCTCACTGCGTAGAGGGCAGGCAACAGATCTTCCTCCTTATATTCAAAGCTGGACTCATAGATCCCTCCTCGCTGGAGTTGTCTTGTACACTCCTAGTTGGTCGATTCCCAGGAGATTCTACTCTAGTTTGCTGGGAATGCGCCTGTAGGTGTAAGGTTGTGTATTACACAGAGTTCCCTGGGGGATCAAAACCAACGGAACATGTGGATATATCACACAAGGCCCTTTACTGGATTGTGCAGGATTATCGAACAATGACCGTCTGTGTGCTGGAGTGGTAGTTGGTGAATCCAGGAAGCTGGACTTCCCAGTTGACCCGAACCTGATACTACAGACTTGAAAGTTCCCTGAGAGCTTCTTATGTGAATCCATATTTAGAGACCAGAGAAGCTAGAGTCTGATGCCCAGAGACAATGGCAGCTGCGATAAAACCTTCCTTAAGATAAATGCAAACATACTGCCTTTCTCTGATTTCATCCAGGATGCCAATCTGTTGGAAGGTTCTATCTAAATTCACTGTGACCTCCCCCAACATAGTCATTGGATCGCACATCAGTCTTTTCTGGAAACCCCTGTAGACACGTAAGTATAGTTCGCCATTCCTAGACTCTCTTAATCAAGTCAAGTTGACAACCAAAACCAGCGATTGTAGAGTAGAACCTAACAAATCGGCATTCTTTCCCTCTCTGGATATTTGGGTGGTGTGGGAAAATAAAGAAAAACCCCAGTTTTGTTAAAAACAGCTATAGAGCTTGACAGTTAATCTTGAGCTTCGACTTTATCAGATTAAGAAATGTCAAAGAGATTAATAAAGTACGCCTTTGGGGTGTGTCTGTGATTCTGTCACAACAGGACTAATCTCTTGATGTAGTCCTAACATGATAACATTCACGGGAAGTGTCACAGACTAGGAGCTGGGCCTACCTGGAGTAAGTGGGTCACTGCAGCACGC